AACAGGTGTGTAATAAATGTTGGTGAATGAATGAAATGCATGATTTCCCAAGGGAGGAAGGTGGTCATCTGAGCTATGACATATCTGTCTGGATGGAGTCAAGTCTTTGAGTCCAACTGCTGGCAACAGGGGTGAGGAGTGCCCAAAGGGGGTGAGGGGAAGGGCAAAGGTGCAGCTGTCACAGAGAGAAGCAGAAGGTGCATGTTGGAATATCAAGGATAAAGGGCTTCCCCCTGTGATGTCAAGAGACGGAGTAGCCCCTTCTGTGAACAGTGTCAGACGGAATTATTTCTTTTTCCATAGGTCCTAAGAGATCAAGGGGAACTTAGAATGTGGAATATCAGAACTAGAGGTGGGAGCTGGGGGAGGGCCTTTAGAACAGAAAGTCGAAATTAGAAGAAAGAATCTTTAGAATGCAGAATGTTAGACCTGAGAGAAGCCTGAGAGTTCATCTGGTCCATCTCTCTCCTTTTCAAATGAAAAAGTGAGGCCCAACCCAAAGAAAGAACTATGGAAGCCGAATTGTTACTTTTTTCTCTTCTGTTGAGTTTTGCTTCCTCTTTCTGATGGTTCCTCCTATTGGTTTTAATTTCTACTCACAACATCACTAATGTGAAAATATGTTTAATATGAATGTAAATGTATAGCCTATATCAGATTGCGTGCCGTCTTGGGGAGGGTGGTGGGGAGGAAGGGGGAGAAAAATTTAAAACTCAAAAGCATAAGGAAGTGATTATTGATAAATCAAAATAAATTAATAAAAAAAAAAGTGAGGCCCAGAGAAGGGGATAGCTTGCCTCCTCTCATATACGAAGTGGTAGAGTATTCACTCAAACCCTATCCTGGGACTTGGAAAGAACACAAGTCCAGGGTTCTTTCCACTACAGCTCTTTAAGGTTTATTTAACCTTTGCCTAACAAAAAGCAATTGTCACAAGTTTTGTTCATTATCAGATTTGTGGTTTCATCTGAATAGTGAGTTCTTGGTGAGGGCCAGGAAATCTTCTCTACCAACTTAGTTCTTAAGACTCACCTGTGAGGGGCAGCTAGGTGGCAGAGTGCATAGAGCACCGGCCCTGGATTCAGGAGGACCTGAGTTCAAATCTGGCCTCAGACACGTAACACTTACTAGCTGTGTGACCCTGGGCAAGTCACTTAAGCCAAAAAAAAAAAGGCTTGCCTGAGGCAAGGAGACATGAAGCACCACAGCCAGGGCCAGCTCTCTATGCACTGAATCATGCTACCTTTCAGTGCAAGTACTATTGTGTCCACATGAGCAATGGAGAAACTGATTCTTTGAGAATTGCCCATAGAGGCTAAGAGAATGGGCTTCCCATGGAGAAATCACAGAATTACAGAATTGGAAGATACCTCACTGGCTGTCTCAACAATCCTACACCTGAAGAAACCCCTGAGAGCTAGAGGCCTCCCAAGGCAGCCCACTCCATTTCTGAGCTGCTCTCATGGGAGAAGATGGCCTTGCCTAAACTGGCATTTCTGCAACTCCCACTCTTTACTCTTATCCTGACCTCTGGGGTCAAACAGAACTCAGAGGTCATCTAGTCCAAACCCCTCCCCCCAATATTACTAATAAGGAAATTGAGGTCCAGAGAGGTTATGACTTGGCCAAGGTCTTAAAATAGTTAAGTGGTACAGTCAGGATTTTAGGGCAACTAGGTAGAGCCATAGTGCATAAAGTGCTGGGCCTGGAGTCAGGAAGACATAATTTCCTGAGTACAAATCCAGCCTCAGATACTACTAGCTGTGTGACCTTAGGCAAGTGACTTCACCCTGTTTGCCTGAGTTTCCTCCTCTGTAAAATGAGCTGGAGAAGGAAATGGCAAACCATTCTAGTATCTTTGTCAAGAAAACCCCAGATGGGTTCACAAAGAGTCAGACACAGCTGAAACGATTCAACAACAAAAATAGGATTTAAGTCCAGGTCCTTTCACTCCAAATCTAGTACTCTTTCCATTGGACAGCCCTTCAAATAACTGAAGACAGCTATTATGGACAGCTATTATGTCTCACCCTGCCCCCCCCATAACCAAGTCTTGTCTTCTCCAGAATAAATCTGTCCTGTTCCTTTAACAGTTTCTAGGGTGTATTCTCCACTCCTCTCACCATGCTCTCTTCTGAACACACTCCAGCTTGTCTATGTCCTACCTAAAATGTGGTGTCCAGAGCTGAATACAGCACCACAAATGGGATCCAACCAGGACAGAGCATCAAAGAGCTATTTATCACCTCTCTTGTTCTGGACACTCTACTTTCCTTCACACTATGTACGTTGGATAGAGTTACCTTTTCTAGCTGTGATGTCCCACCATTCATTCATATTGAGCCTGTGATCTTCAATTTTGAGCCTAGACTGTCTTCACAGAAACTATTTTCAATTACAACTCTTTCATCCTGTATTTCAGTTGATTTTTTTGAACCCGAGTGTAAATCTTAATGTTTGTCCATATTAAATTTTATCTCATTCAACTTGTCCCATGGTTCTAGCCTTTCAAATCATTTTAGATTCTGACTCTGCAGTCCATATTAGCCAACATTTCAAACTTCCTGTAATCTACACACATGACAAGTATGCCTTCTATGACTATCTAAATCATTGATAAAAAGGCTGAACCGCAAGGGTAGATCTCTGAGACATTCCACTAGAGTAATCCCACCAAGTTAGCATTGACTCATTAAACAACTACTTATGAGGACATTGGACCTTGACCAAAAGTGGTCAGTCAACTAATTCTAAATCAATACAACTGCACTCTCGTCTAGTCTATCTCTCTCCAACTTGTCCACAATGATAGCAAAAAAGGTTATCAAAAGCCAAAAGTGATAGAAGGAAGGAGAGACACCATCCTTAATAGGTAGTGATCTAAGTGGGGTGTTCCACTGGCAATCTGGAGGTTTCCTGATCTGATGGTTTAAGACTAAGACTTGTAAGGAATTTATAATTTTATATAGTATAAATTATAATTTTATATTTTATATACTATAAATTATAATTTTATATATTATATATTATAATTTTATGTTTTGTATATTATTTTATATTTTATATATTATAAACATATCATTTATTATATATTTTATTTTTATATCTATATAACATACTCATATAAATATATAATATATTCATTTTAATATAATTGTATTCTATTTTATTTACATTTTATAAATATAATAGAAAGGAATTTATCATTTTCATATTAATCTATATGATATGTGGAATGAATACACTAATAATTTAGTTTTCTCAAGAGCTGCCTTTTCCAGCTTGTGAGTCAGACTCACAATGCAGCTTGAACTGATCAATCAAAAACCATGTCAAGGCTCAAAATCACCGGCATCCTTGTGAATGGAACCAAAGACTGTGGAACTTGTTCCCGTCACAGAACTCTAGTCCTGTGACCCATCAATTAACAACCCCCAAGGACTTGAGCAGTATTGCTCCTGTAGGACTCCAGCAGAATTATTTTTTTGTGGGATTTATGGGTTTCTTGTGGGAAACTACTAAATAATTGTTTGTGATCCACCTTTCCCGCTCCTTCCCCAGTTGTGATTGAAGTATATAACCTGTGCTTTTACTTCAGCAAAGAGAACATTCCTCATTCTGAAAATGATTAATTAAACTACTTGATTATTGGTACTCCTGTCTCCTAGGCCTGCTTTGTGCAGCTCCTAGCATTCTCAAGTTAGAGATCAGTAAAAATCCTGTTAACAGATGAAAGAATGGAAAAATAAACTTGGGCTGAGTTACCTAAGAGGGCAATGCATTCAATGTGTGTAAGGTACACAATGAGGGAGGGAGTGTTCTAGTAAAAGAAATGTTATTCTCATTCAGAGGCCAGCTGTATTCTATAAGGTGTGAACTCTATAGAGGCCTAGGGAATCATAGGAACTGAGGCAATGCAGAACTTTCCCTCCATACTAGTTTAGCAAATTCACATTATTACCCAATATGGATATGGTAAAAAAATACATATTTTTATTCAATTTTGGTTACTCATAAGCCTAGCCTAGATATTTCATAGGATCATGAACTGCAGGAGATCTAAGAGATCATCGAGTCAACCGGAAGTGGGAAAAGCACTGAATCTGAAGTCCTGAAACCTGAGTTCAAATTCCTACTCTAGTACAGGAGTGGGGAACCTGCAGCCTCGAAGCCATGTGTGGCCCTGTAGGTCCTCAAGGGCGGCCCTTTGACTGAGCCCAAGTTGTACAGAACAAATCCCCTTAATAAATGGATTTGTTCTGTAAAACTTGGCCTCATTCAAAAGGCAGGACCCAAGGACCTACAGGGCCACATGTGGCCTCCAGGCTGCAGGTTCCCCACCCTTGGTCTAGTATTTACTAGCTGTGGGACCCTGGTCAAATTACTTCCCCACTCTGGGTCTTGGTTTCTTCATCTGTAAATAAAATTTCTTACACTACCCTTGTTCAAAGGAAAACTGTCAATAAACGTTATTTTCTTTTTAAATATAAACTTGACAAAGATCAACAATCATTTTGACACACAAAAAGAACAGAAAGAATACTGTATATGAAATTATGAAGCCTTGTTATACACTGCCCGGTGGGGGGTTTTAAAGTACATAACAAATTGACACAGTTGCTCCAAAACTGTCTGGCTTGTCTGTGTCTCTCAGGGGGTGGATGGCTCCAGCTCTCTTCTAAGGGCTCCATTATTTCTCTTCTTTTCATCTTTTTTTTTTTTTTTTGCCATCACTATCATTACTCCTCTTCCCGCAAATAACTCATCCTCTCTTGTACTAAGTATAAATACAAAACAGAACCAATCCACACACTGGCCATATCTGAGAAGGTACTAGTCATTCCCCACCTGCAAAGAGATGGGAAGTAGGGAGGGGAGGCGGGAGGCGGGAGGCGTGGAATGCGCAGACATCTTTTTTTTTTTGGTGGCTGCTTATGCCCTGCCCTTTTCCTCTCGCCCCTCCCTCCCCCTCGGCGGCGGGCTGCGGCCGCTTCCGTTACCGGGTCGCTCTGGTGCGGGGACAGGGGAAGAGGAGGGGCGGAGTTGAAGAGCTGTTGTCATGGAGCTGGGGGCAGAGCTTGTGGGACGGGACGGGACTGGCAGCGGATCTGAGTCACGTGCGAGGGGCCGAGCGCTTCTGGTCGCATCCCGGGGCCAGGAGAGGAGGCGCAGCGCCTGGCCCCGCCTACCCTCGGTCGGTGAAGACGATGGGGCGGAAGCGGAACAAAGTATCGCTCCTCCTGCGAAAGGGATGAAACCCTCACATTTTGTAGACAGCCTTAAACGTGGTTTTAGAGTAAAACATTTTGGCCAGATCTTGGTATCAGTATTCGGTCAATAGAGACATCTTGCAAAATGTGTCCTTGATGTTGGAAATGCATCTTTTTTTACCTTGGCCACTCCGTCAGAGGAAAAAGGTTCTTCTGTGTAGGGCCGACAAAAAAGATAGGACCCATGTGTGACACTCAAAGAGGACGTCCTAGGGGCAGCTAGGTGCCGCAGTGGATAGAGCACCTGCCCTGAAGTCAGGAGGACCTGAGTTCAAATCCAGCCTCAGCCCAAACACTTGTCACTTACTAGCTGTGTGACCTTGGCCAAGTCACTTAACCCCAATTGCCTTAAAAAAAAAAAAAAAGGACGTCCTTCAATCGGACGTTTCCTAGAGGCAGTCACTTGATACACGTTCCACCACGGAGCTAGAACGGGGACACGGAGGCACAAGTACCAGATACCCCAGCATCTGGAAGCAGAAGGAACCTGAGGCCCAAGCCCAAGGCCTGCCCGTACCCGCAGGGTTTGAGCCCGGGTCTTCTGATTGCAGAACCATTTCTCCTAACGTTACACCTCCATATATGCAGAATAATTTTGAGGGATAGAATAGTAGCCTAACAACTGGAGATATAAGGAAAGGCCTCCTGAAGGAGGTGGCCGGCCCCTTGAGCTGTAGCTTTTTTTTTTTTTGGTATTTTTGTGCCGAAATTTTGTAAATTAAAAATATGCAAATGAGGTCTTTGGAATAATATGGGGGTGAGCAGTTTTCATTTTGTGTGTGTGTGTGTGTGTGTGTGTGTGAAACACAACCAAAATACTGTATTACATCTTTTCAAGCTGTCCTAGATTTAATATAATTTAATAATGTGAATATATCATCTTAACGTGACTTTGTGAAATAAATAACTTGTCTGACAAGTCTGATGGCAAAGGGAATTGGCCTATCATTTTCCTATTAGATTTAGTTATGGCAATCATGCAAATTAATGCAAAGCATATATGGAGAAGTTAAATGAAATTTACAGAATTATAGGATTTGAATGCTTAATGGATACACAAGATGACCACCAGCCCTTCTTTTACATGTCAGGAAACTGGCCATTGTCTTGGTCAAGGTCACCAAGACAAAATGTATGTCTTTTTGTGTTACAACAATACATGTCTATTAAGTACATTTTTCCTCCTTCAGCTTACAGATTGAGAGTTGGAATATCATTGGTTAGTCTAGGTAGGAGTGGTAGAGCAACTAAATAATTTAAACTACTATACCTGTTTTTTTTCTAACAACAATAGAAATGTATCATTATATTTATATTAGGAAATGTGAGTAGCAAGGTGAGTTAACATGTTTTAACATCTGTACCCAAAGAACACATAAAGCTGTTAGAATCACACCTTTCTTCAACTTTTCAGGCTTGTCTTGGCACTTTTACCTGCTGCTAAGTGCTCTTACATAATAATCAAGATAATGATACCAATTATAAAAACCCTTATTAAATGGTTAAGAATAATTTTTTTCACTTTTTTTTTTGTTGTTGTTTTTGCTAGGCAATGGGGTTAAGTGACTTGCCCAAGGTCACACAGATAGTTAAGTGTCAAGTGTCTGGTCTGAGGCCACATTTGAACTCAAGTGCTCCATCCATTGTGCTGCCTAGCTGCTCCCAGAATTTTTTTTTTTTTAGAAATTGTGGTTAGACTTACTTAAAAGAATGGAAAAGCAACCTAATTATGTCCAAACATAACATAACATTCTTCATTGCAAGTAATCTTTTAATATTAAAAAAATGTCCTCATTCTCAAAGAATTAAAATATATATAATTTCATTATTTTTAAAAAAGAGTTGGGAAGTATGACCCATTATTCATCTTCTGAAATCCTGGTTGTTCTACTGCATTGATCAGAGCTGGGTCTTTCAAAATGGTTTTACTTTACAATGGTGTAATCATTTTATAAATTGTTCACCTGATTGTACTTACATCACTCTACATCAGTTCATGCAAGTTCTTCCAGGCTTCTTAGAATCCTAATTCATCCTTTGCCTTATTTTTTACAGCATGATACTCCACTACATTTATATACTGTAATTTGCTTAGTCAGTTCCCAATTCATCTGAACTCACTTTGTTTCCAGTTCTTTGCTACAACAAAAAGTGCTACTATGAATATTTTTGACATATGGATCTCTTCCCCTTACTTTTCTCTCTTTGGGTCATATGGCTGGTCCAAGGGTAAGTGCAGTTTAGTAATTTTTGGGGTATAGTTCTACATTGTTTTCCAGAAAGACTGAAAACCAACTCACAGTTTTAGCACTAGGACATTAGTAATATTTTCCCGCAGCTCCTGCAACAACTACCATTTTCCTTTTGTGTCATCTTTGCCAATCTAATCAGTACAAGGTAGAACCTCAGAGTTGTTTTAATTTGTATTTCTCTTATCATTATTGTTTTGAAGCATTTTTTCTTAAGGTTGTTGAAAAAGTTGGATTTCTGCCCTTGAGAACTACCTACTTGTGGCTGACTATCTATCTATTGGTGAATGGCTTTTGTCTATTTTTCACCGTATATCTCCGATATCGTATCTTTATCAGAGAAGTTTACCGCAAAGATTTTTTTCCCAGTCAGCTGTTTCCCTCCTACTTTTAACTACATTGATTTTGTAAAAAAAAAAAAAAATTTATTTTTATGTAAACATTCCTTGTCATCTCCTGTGATTTGTCTCTATCCTTTGATCAAAAACTCATCCACTAATCATAGTTGTGAAAGATACCTCCTTTCCTGCCCCTCTAATTTGTTTATATGATCTTTTATATTTAAATTTTTGTATCCATTTGAAGCTTATTGTGACATACAGTGTGAGATGCTAGTCTAAATTCACTTTCTGCCAGATTGCTTTCAAGTTTTCCAGCAGCTTTTATTGACTATAAGTGGTTGAGGTCCTTATATTTATCAAAAACCATGCTACTATACCCCCCTTTTAAAAATAAATAACTCCTTGGTAATTTGATTGGTATGACATTGAACATATAAATTAATCTAGGTGGTATTATTATCATTTTTATTATATTGGCTTGGCCTCCCTATGATCATTAACATTTCTGTCATTACTTAAGTCTGTATTTATTTCCATAAAGCATTTTGTAATTGTTTTCATATAGTTCCTGTATGTACCTGGGTAGGTAGACTCCTAAGTGTTTTAAGTATTCTATAGTTACTTTTAAATGTAGTTTCTTTTTTCTATCTCTTCTTGCTGGGTTTTGCTAATAATATACAGAAAGGTAAAAGATTTTTGTGGGTTTATTTTATAGCCTGTTACTTTACTGAAGTTTGTTTCAATTTTTAGTTGAATCTCTAGAGTTCTCAAAGTAAACCATATCATTAGCAAAAGGTCATAATTTGTTTCCTCTTTGTCTAAGCTTAATCCCTCAATTTCTTTGAGGGACTATTGTCATACCTAGAACTTCCAGAACTATATATCAATAGTTCTGACAACAGACATTCACTGTCATGTCATCAGTGCTTTACCCCTGACCTTACTGGAAAGGCACCTGGAATCTCTCCATTACAGATAATACTAGCCCTTGGTTCTAGATAGAAATTATTTATTATATTGAAGAAGATCCATTTGTTCCTACACTTTTCAATGTTTTTTAATTGAGTCTTTGTCAAAAACTCACTTTGTCAAAAGCTTTTTCTGCATTTATGTAATCTTTTGATTTTTCTTGTTTTGGTATTAATATGGTCTATTTTGTTTATAATTTTTCCTAATAGTGAACTAACCTTGCAGGCTGGTCATACTGTATAATAATCTTTGTAATAAAGTTGTGTTTTTTGCTAGTTTTATTCAATACTCTTATGTTGATATTCATTAGGGATACTGGTTGACAGTCCCGTCCCCCCCAATCTATTTGTTTCATAGAAGGAATTTTACTTTGTAAATTTTAAAGCATTCGAGGAATGGGAGTTCTTCAGCCAATCCTCCTTTTATATGAGGAAACAGAGGCTCAGAAAGAGAAAGTCATACAACTAGCAAGTGGCAGAGTCATAATTTGAAAGTATGTCCTCCTCCGACTTCCATTCCAATGGTGTGTGTAAACTCTTTTTCCTTCATGAATAAAACCGCTCTTGTGGCTTCCTTAGACTTTGTTTGGAAGCTGGGGTGGGGGACACAATGATGAAAGAGAAGAAAGCTGGAAGCGAATATCAGATTAATGTTTCCCTTCATAAAGGGAGCAACAGGGGAGAAGGGAAAGGTGATTAGGATTGGAAGCAGCAGATCCTGGAGTACAATGCAGGCTCGAGATTCAAAAAGGAGCCAGAATCAGGAATGTCAGGGACTAAGAATAAAATCTCCTGAGGAGTAGAGTAAGTGTCCCAAGATAACATTATCAGCAAGACCTATGAGGGCCTAGGACTTCACACTTTAAAGGAAGTCAAGCCAAAGCCTGGCCGGAAAGAGATCGCAGAATCAAGGAATGTTCAGAGTTAAAAATCAAGCTGAGAGATCATCTCATTTTACTCTCTCATGTTACTAATGAAGAAACTAAGACCCAAGGAAGGTAAGTGACTTTGTCCAAGGTCACAGTGTCTGAGGAGGTAACCACACCCAGGCCTTGACTCTTAATCCAGTGCTCTTTAAAGAGGCTTATCAACCAAGAAGGTGTGTCTGCCATTAATGAGCTAATCTGGGGTAAGTATTGAGAAAAAATAATATTCCTTAAGCTCCTATTTCTAGAGCACTTTTCTCACAAAATGCCTGTGAGGTAGGGCTTACTGTCCTCATTCGGTTCCATTAGAAATACTGGAGTGGTCCCTGCCATCAAAGAGCTGACATTCTACTGAAGGAACAGAATATGAAAATAGATGTTAGATAAATGAAATGCAAGGCAATTTGAGAAGAGAGACAAAGAGGCAAAGAGACACAGAAAGTGTCACATCTGAAGGCTTCCCATTGGACCAGACCCCTAAACTGAGTGAGCCTAGAAGGAAGCTAAGGATTCTACTACTTGGCAGTGAGGAGGAAGGGCATTCCAAACATGGGGTTTTAAGCCTGTCTGAAGGCACAGAGATACATGAGGGAGCATTTTTTGAGGAAACAACTAGGCCAGAGTGACTGATAAGGAGAGTGCATGCTAGGCAGAAATATGAAACAAAGGAGGAAAAGTAGTTTGCAGCTAATGTATGTAAGGCTCTGAGTACCAGCCCAGTGAGTTCTTGTTTTATCATAAAAAGAATGGAGATGAATGAAAATTTTTGAATAAGAGTGACAGGATCAGACTTGTGTCTTGGGATTATTATTTTGGCAGTTATGTGGAGGACAGCTTGAAGACGGGAAAAAAATGGATGCAAGACGACCAACTGTAATGGTTCCAGTGAAAGGTAATGAGGACCAGAATTGGGGTCAAAACTGATTGAGACATGAGAGGCTGTGGCAGCCCAAATGATGAGAGCTAGCAACCAACTGACTCTGAGGGGTGGTGAGGGAGAGAAAAGGGTCAAAGGTATCTCCAAGGTTATGAGCAAGGGTGTCTAGCAGGATGGTGGTACCCTCTACAGAAAT